AATTACTTATATACTCGTATCCAGACCCCTATATATTTGTTTATAACATTATATTCCCTATGCCTTGTTTTAAGCCGCTTTAAGCAATATACAGTAAACTACGGTTATAACGAACTCAAAGGGACCACCCATTTTAGTTCGTAATAACCGTAGTTCGTTATAAGCATATATACAGCATATATGCATCACATGGCCGGGGCTAACAAGTAAGTTCGTTATATCGGTCAGTTCGTTATAAGCGTGTTCGTTATAACCGTAGTTTACTGTACTAATCATATTAACGCCTGGCAAACAGAATGGGCTTATTTGTACCCATGTGGGTAATCTAACCCGTGTCTTTGGCGTGAAGAGACGCTGTAACTACCAGGCTCCCTAACCACCCATATCTCTTTGAAAAGGAGTGAGTGAGTATGGTTTTACGCCGCTTTTAGCAATATTCCAGCAATATCACGGGGAGGGGATACCAGAACAGGGCTTCACACATTGTACCCATGTCGGGAATCGAACCCGGGTCTTCGGCGTGACGAGCGAACGCCTTAACCAGTAGGCTACCCGACCGCCCTCTTTGAAAAGGAGAAATCTGCGGATACTATCACGTGACAAGAGGTAAGGGCAACAACGATAAGACGAATGACAAATAGGAATTTTGTTTAAGAAAATATTTATTTATACATATAAACATGTAGAAAAATATAAATGTTTATGGCATTACAGGTATCCGTTTTTAACGATCATACGTGTTTCAGAAGCACCAAAATGAGCATGGAAGACATACATGTGACGTCATCAAACGTAACGATGTCGAGGCACGTTTCATACAATGGGTTTATTATGAAGGGTCAAAGTTCAACGAGAGGTTTCCATCTGTTATACAGACGTGATGAAGAATGATGAAGTCGTGGTCCAACAGTTGAAAGATGAAGGCCTGATCCACGCCAGATAGATGAAGATGTGGCAGGAAAGTGTAGGAATGGTCGTGCTTCTAGTGAAGTCGGGGTCTAATATATCAAAGTTTCTAAACAACAGTGTTACACACAACACAAAAATAAATGTATCAAAAATATAACAAGGGCGGCAAAAGAACCGCAGTAGGCACTTGCAAAAGTCATTTTTCTTGGCAGTTTGAGAATGTCATAAGTTCTAGAAAGTAACTATTGTTACCACGAAAGCAGTCGTTTCCATGGTTACCAGGGACGCCACACCTTTTCCTCCTGGAAGGCACACTGTGGGGGTGAGTAACGGTGAACGGGGCTGACAGATTCATACATCCGGGTACCTGTTGACATACGCGGGACAGGATGAACGGGATAGGACGGCGATACAACTCGCGTCGTCTGCTGCACGTATTCAATGTCGCTGTGGTATGGGTGCACTCGGATATTTGTGATGTTTTTATAGTCATTAAAGTTCGTCGGCACACTGAAGCTATCGGGGCTGCTGTCACGAGATGTTGACATGACGTGATCCTGCACGTGCATAACTGGAGCAACAGGTGTAGAATGTGCGAGCGGCATGAGAAGAAGACTGGTGGGTGTCGTCTGCTTGTTTGGGGATGACGTCATCATGTCAGCCGACTCTGGGATCTGAATCAGAAGCGGCTGTAAACATCTGGTTTGGCCGTTGACAGGAGATACGCTCTCAGCACGTGCTGCGTAAGTCGTCTGTTTCGAATCGTGGAATGTCGTCTGCTGATGTTCGGTGATGGATGAGGGAGCAGGGGTCACAATTGACAGACATTTCCCAAGGTGATCGGCAAGCGATGACTTAACTTCTTCTTTGACGCCATTTGAAGACTGGAAGTAGTTGAGCACCTCGTTTGCACACTGGTTGAACCCCGCACGGTATTTGGCAGCAACACTTGGGTCAGAGGTCACTTCAGTGGACACGTGCTGCCTCTGCATATGGCGCAGGTACTTGACAGTCATTTCCAGAATGTCAGCTTTCTCAAGGCGGGAGAACTGTGCGCTCTGAAAAGGACAAGGCAAATGTTAAAACGGTCATAAAAGCTTAATTAAATCCATGTCTATATAACAAAGCAAATGCTATGCATATTCAAATTGTAATAATATTTACAAAATATCGAATTAACATTGAAAATCCATGTGAAATACAAATATTAACGACAATATGATAATTAAATGTATTATTCAGCATGTGACATTTCAATACTTACATCTTGTTTCATAGCTTGGAGGAGAAGCGATTTCAGTTGTGACAAGCTGTCATTGATACGTGCACGGCGTCGCTTTTCAACCAACGGTTTGTTTGCCTGAAAAAGACAACATTCAGTTATAGCACGTGACATGGTGGAGCAGACGACACACAACAACAGTCGAAGCGTTCAAATGGCTTGTTGACAAAATCTGGCAATCTAAAGGCTGATTTAGTTTCGAATGTCTTCAGCTTTCGAAGACATTTATAGCATGACAAGTCAGCGTATATAGAAGTGACATAAAAAAAACCATACGTATTTCGTTTTATCAGCCAAATGAACAAATGCTTCATAAATGTCAAAATAAGTAAACATGGTTTCCGAAGATAGGAAAGCTAGAACGCCGTTGACTTGAAAATAGAATTCAACAAATTGACAATAACCTTATCCAAAAGTTACCAAAATAATTTGAAAAAAATTAAACATGCCAAACATGAAATCGATTTATAAGCAAATCACGGAAGTGATGTGAAACTTGTCTTGCGGACATGTGACATGTGAACTCGCCCGTCGACAGAAAGTAAACAATCACAAAGACAACTCACCCTCCTGTGGGATGAGACCCGTTCTGGCATTCTGTTTTCTGTTAAAGTCTCCATTGCTAGAAGTGGAATGCAGCCAAATTGCTAGCTGAGGTAATCTGTGAACCACTAGAGCACACGAGCGAGTGTAACTCTCCCACGGTCGCCAGGGTTTTTATACATCCCTACACGAGCCGGCTTGAGATGCGAAGGTATGCCAACGCGCTTTCCCACGCTCGACGCTGGTAGCTTCAGCCAATCAGCGCGCGGCTTGTGGACATAGCGGGATGTATCGGCATGCGACTCCAATACTCTGATTGGTCAACACACAGATGTGCTTGCGACAGGTACGAGTGGTTTAGCCTGCGTAAGCTAGGCACGTGACTCGACCAACTGTTGATAGTCGTGGCTGGGGCATTTGTGTTTTGATCGATTGTATTTATGGCTTAACAATCTTTACTTATGTCGTTTGACGGGGTTGATTGTTTGAAATTGAACCGTTTGCACATAAATAAGTATATATGATAAGTGGAACAATTGAAATTGCAGTGCATGGTGTTTTTTTCCAATCTGAAAGACTGCATAAAGTTGGCTGTCAGTGGTTGAGATAAATGTATTTGCTGAATTCTCTACTGATGTTGTCAAATATAAATGATAAACATTATGGTGTTTATTGTTTGTAAGTTTTATAATGCATACTTTCGCCCTCCTTTATACAAGATAAGATAAGATATGAAAGATAAGATAATATTTATTGCAGAAACGTCCCATTACCGCACAGATGCAATTTTAAAAGACAAGACATTATGATTCATATATACATATTTGCAGATTTCACAGAATTCACTGGAGCAGGGATTGTAAATGTTAACATAAAGCATTAATGGTTTGATGCACATCTGTTTATGAGTAAACAATTAAAGCTAGTCTGTCTTACAGACCCTGATACAAATATATATCAAATACAGTCCATGCAAGTCTATGTCTGAAAATGAAGAGTCTCTGGGCTCCCTATATTATATTTTTATTAAGATAATTGAACAACTGGTTTTTCTCTGTACGATATGTTCATTTCAGAGACTAGATGTAAGTCTAAATTTTCATGTATATGAAAATTAAAATTCGTCTGAGTTCGAAATATATTTTTCAGTTTACAATATAAACAAAATGAATCCTAAGTTTGTTATATACAATCCTGGATTTGTAAAGCAGATCATATATAACCCTGTGTAGTAGGTTAAGAATGTGTAAGTAGAAATGCATATGCAAGGTGCAATCACTTGCACATGAGACGTCCATTTATCATCACGTCCCCCGGGTAGAGTCACACACACAATAATAGACTGGAAATATTTAGGCAACTGAATGTCGACATACTTCCTCAACCGCTATGGCTCCACTTGACTAACATTTAGTCTACGAAATCTTCTATTACACAATACCCTTCTCGACTCCAAAATTAAACAAATAATTTGCCAATGCTGATTTCATGTGGAATAGAGCTAGCTAGAGCTGGCTAGACTTTTGTATACATATCAAGTTATTTTTTCATAAAATAAATATATTTCACAGCCATGGTGCAGGACTGTGGTTTCCCGTTCCCAGTCGCTCTCAACTTTGCAATCAGAACGTGGTGGATAATATGTTAGTTTATGTTAACACGAGGGCAATCAGATTGTATGTATGATAATACAAGTTTGTTTTCTTACTTACTTGTATTGCTGTTTTAATCATTTCAAATGGGTTGTGATTTAAAGTTTTCTCTTTTTATCGAGAACATCTGGCTTTGAACTTGGGTTTTGTGTGTTATGATGGTCATGTGTTTTGGTTGCTGTTGTCGATATCTTTATTGAAAGAACTGCTCATAAATTTACGTTGCTGCAGTAATTATCAAAGGAAGCTGCGCGACAATCATTTTTTTGTCTTTTGTTTGTTATAAAGTAAGATTGTTTTAACGCTGACATCACTGCATCACAAGTTTTTAGCACGAACCATATATGCATATCTAATTCATATTTAATGCTTCTGAAAATATTATGATTACCGAATTATTTTTACAAGTCAACAACTTTAATAATTTCGATAACAACACACCACATTAAACCATTCATGTCAACAAACAGAATAGGTATGTTCAAATGCACGTCCAGTTGTGGTTAAACACACTTAACCAGTATTACAGAAGTAAACAAAAAGTAAGTCCAAGGGAGGTAAGTGGAGGGGGTCATGGATGGCCTGTTTTAGCGGTGGTGTAATGGAATGCCAATCAAACGGAGACAGACGACTAGTAAATACACGCACGTGCGTGGATGTCGCGCGGAGTGTGGGAACCCTCCTCCCCCTCCCAACGTTCACGGATCGGTGCCCCCGCCATTGAGCTCAGGTAATTGAACATTCCTCAGTCCTCTACCTGTGACTGTGAGAAAACTCGCTGGCTAATGCGGCGCGATTCAAAGCCGGATCTTCTAACATTACCTAGTCTGCTGTATGCCCTTACACAGGTGCGCCAAGCGGGATTTATACGAGTGTATACATGGCTTAAACAGCTATTATGGGGAATGGTCTATTGATTGAATTTATGCCTTTTCGTTTGATCGTTTAGTACGATCTATAATCACACCAGCGCATTACGAAATACGCAGATTTAATACATATAATCAATATTACAATCTATTACGTTGTTTATACAAGTGCAGTTATGATATATTTTCATATGATGTTTCAACCAATCATATTCATATCACGTTAGTTTATGTTACGACATAATCGCAAAGTTTATATTGGTGATTTTGTTGGAACTATTTTGTCTTATGTGCAAAGTAAATGTATGATTTCTTCAGCTGTCGAACCGTATAAACGACATAACGTTTGGTAGTTTTGGCAGCTGTAGCGTGAATTACCTGATGAAGTAAGGGTACATTCACTCCTTGGTTGATCCAGGAATTGAGAGAGAGAGAGAGAGAGAGAGAGAGAGAGAGATACACATCACTGCACAGGTTACAGATTTCTGGTTGATACCAATTTAAGTCGATAGGGTCTCTTTTGGGGGGTTAAAACTAAGTTATGTGACACTCAAATGGCCATGGCAGATTAACTATAGCCCTACCAAACTAAATCGATTGTTCTTTAACTTCTTTTGAGTAGTATAAGGGAACTAATTCTTTAAGGAACACTCAAGTCCCTTGGGATGAAGAGAATGTGAGTTTAGGATGCTAGAAGGCCAAATGACGTTGGGGAAAACATTTTAGGAAATATAAACGCTGGGATCTGTAAGAGAGACTGGGATAGTCTTGACACACCCTCCTCCAACCCCACTCCCGCCCCAATTCCCAGAATAATATTTTGTCTAGGATTTTATTTTATTACGCGTTACATTTCTGTTTGAAAGTCAGTTTTCCTATGGCTGTGGAATGTAAATAGCTGGACTTGCCTGTTTTATAATCAAGACCGTGAAGCTTATAATTGATAAAATGCAATCATTCTACTGTCAGTGTGCGGGGTAACCCTATTGAGCCCATCTGGTCATAACAGGTCCAAGCAGCCTGTGCTTGTCGTAAGAGGCGACCAACTGGTTCGGGCGGTCGCTTCGGTGGCTTTGCTGGTTGATTGTCAATGAACTCCGACCGCGTTGGACGTCATATCAACCACTGGTCAGTATAGTTGGTTGGTTGGTTTGTTGTTTAACGCCGCACTCAGCAATATTCCAGCTATATGACGGCGGTCTGTAAATAATCGAGTCTGGACCAGACAATCCAGTGATTAATATCATGAGCATCTACCCACGCAATTGGGATCGATGACATGCATCAAACCAAGTCAGGGAGCCTGACCACCCGATCCCGTTAGTCGCCTTTTACGGCAAGCATGGGTTGCTGAAGACCTATTCTACCCCGGAATCTTCACGGGTCTGGTCAGTATAGATCACTCGTGTACAAGCGGACGTGATATAACTGGACTATTGATGACTGTGGTGTGAAACTGCAAACAAACACATTTCAGTACAGTTTGATGACCTTTCATCTGAATTATTGTATTTCTCAAGTGTTATATACGCTTGGTAAAATCAATGTTTATTTGGATAATATACATTTCAACCTACATTAAATGCAACGTGTCTGAACGCCATTTCATTTTGCATCTGCTACCGTTTAACTCGCCACGTGTGTTTTGCACAAGTTCACATTATATGAGGGTGAGGCTATGTTCAAGTCAGTGCGAATCTTGTCGTCAGAGGCCCGTGAAGATCCGGGGTAGAACAGGTCTTCAGCAACCCATGCTTACCGTAAAAGGCGACTATACTTGTCGGAAGAGGCGACTAACGGGATCGGGTCGTCAGGCTCACTGATTTGGTTGATGCATGTCATCGTATCCCAATTTCGTGGATCGATGCTCATGATATCAATCATTAGATTGTCTGGTCCAGACTCGATTATTTACAGACCGCCGTCATATAGCTGGAATATTGCTGAGTGTGGCGTTAAACAAACAAACAAACAAACAAAACAAAACTTGTCGTCAGATGCAGGTTTACGCGAATTTGAACCACTGGGAGATTTGATAATTGTTTGCAATTCTACATTACTTTCCTTTATCTGTCATCAAATCGGAAGATATCATTTGACCCCACTTGCTATTCGGGAGCCGAGCCGTGTCATGTTCGTGCATTAACAGTTTTGAAATCGAAATCTCGCATTATCTCGCCATGCCGAGACCTGGGTGTGAACGATAACGCACTCTCGTCATTATCACTGGAACTCAAATGGTCGTAGCAGACGTGAAGTCGCCGTGGTAATTCTAGGCGCGGGTTCGCCAACCGTATTCACTGGCCTGTGAAGAACTTTAGGGGGATTCCCACGCGACTTCGCTGTACGGAGATGCGGATTGTATTTTCCATACCTCGATATCGGATTCGCTTAGTCTGTTAACGATGTAATTTAATAAAGCTAGCGATGTGAGGAGTTGAAGATTCCCGTTCTCACAAGTTACTCCTCACAGGGCCGTGACTCTGAAGTGACACGAGTTGAGACGCGACCCTTCCAGCAATAAAATAATTACGTCTGTCAGTAATAAATATTCCTCATGTTTTTCACACCTTATCAACAGTAACGGTACAACAGCGACCATTTTACGCAATAAACACACCTTAACAGTAAATTAATGAATTCTCGACAAGGTTGGAAATCTGGCATTTCGGTGATCTGTTTGTAACACAATACCATTCCATTGCAGACAAAAGGAATATTTAGCTGTGACATATTGTTTTGTCTTTAAAAGCGTTTTATTTGTACTGTGTTTATTTTTACATCAATTATGAACTATATGATTGTTTTGTACGTTTATACAGTATGTAAATATGTTTTAATAGATATGTATATGGAATACAGAAATAATTTAACTCTTACATAGAGAATATGTAAAACTCATATATTTATAAAACAATCCTCGTTTATCAGTAACAGACTTCATTAGCTTTCATTCAACCATTGTTTTATTTTCGTTTCCAGAACGAAGTATACGTATGTCACACCCTGTGGGCGGAATAGATCGCCGGTAGCCATGCTTGTCGTAAGAGCTGACAGATATGTTGACTGGGTGGACAATATGACCGACCATGGTTATTTTGCGTATCTGGCATCCTCGTTTATCCAGTAGACTATATCTCCATTCTGATAAAGTATAAATACAATAGCTTAAGGATGTAATACAATGTATAATCGAGGGTGCCGACTCGTATTTCGTAAGATATAGCTGCTATTTGACTAATTTCGGCGTAAAACAAAATACACACATTCACTAAGAGGAACACAGTTATGAACATTTATATCCCGCCACATTCTATTGACATATGCTCGGTAACAGTGTTAATACAAGCCTGGAATATTTCACTAACCACTTGAAACATTTGCGAACAATTAAACCTGGTAGCTTATGGCATACGGGCTGAGCCATATATAACAGCAATAAAACAATTGCCATATCTGGATTATGCAAGAATTGAAAATGTGGCCTTATTTTTCTAATTAGCACTCCGGGGTTAATTTACGAACACATGTGCGCTCAATACTGCCACCGTTTATACGACCATTCACAGCATCAGTCAAGAGTGTGTTCATGTTGAATGAAAATGAATTTGGTTGATTAAGTCGTCTACTTCTTCCAATATGAAAATTGTAGCGCATGCTAGACATTTTTATGTGAAATTAAGCCCTTAAAGGTTTTTTTTATTAACATGATTATTTTGCGAGAAAAATTGTTCGTATGGATTATTTCCTATATTTTTAGAAGGAAGTTTAATGAGATTCTGTATGCGTTCTGAAATACATTGCTCGTTAACGATTTGTTTGTTTGTTTGTTTATTTGTTGTTTAACGCCGCACTCAGAAATATTCCAGCTATATGACGGCGGTCTATAAATAATCGAGTCTGGACCATACAATCCAGTGATCGACACCGTGAGCATCGGCCCACGCAATTGGGATGCGATGACATGTATCAACCAAGTCAGCGAGCCTGACCACCCGATCCGCTTTAACGATAAATGCTCGTGTGACGGGGGACTTGACAAATAAACACAGGTGTTATGAAAACGTTTGATGTGTGTGTTTACTTGTCCTGCTCAGATGAAACGGGGATGATTAAAATGTCTGAACCTACTGTTGTCTTAAAATTGCAAGTGAATCCATTTATGTCATGTGAGTTATAAGACTAACATGGACACCTAACCACGTGACCACGCATATGTACCAAATGTCACTCTTTATGTCAAACCAGACCTCGAGAACCACGTGTTCATTAAAAGTAAACATGCATGTCGTATTTAACAGAAAAGCAAACAAATCCCAGATAAACAAACTTCATATTTTTGTTGATTATTCCAACAAGGCCAACGCGAGACGTCTTTTGCCTGCATCTTATTTTTAAAAATTTCGTTAAAATTATAATTTATCTGAAATAAATTATAATTTTAACGAAAATGTTTAAAATAAGATGCAGGCAAATTTTTTCATTAGTTACGATGGTAATGGTAAATTCAACTAACTTGTATGTTTAGACTCATACAAGAGTATGAAGCTACAGACCGTTGATAGAGCTTTATGAAAAGCTTTCCTTAGCATTTACTTAATGCTTTAATAATTAGGACTCAACGCACTCAGTTCCCAGGCCGTCGCTGTCGCCGAGGGGTGATAACGCCAGTTGTACGCACCTGTGTGCTTAGCAAAGCATCAAACAAAAGAGCTCTGTCCAAACATCCGTGTACATATCCAAAAATTATCAGTAATGAAAAGGCGTATCCAAACCGATCGACAACCCGCTAAAACTATCGGATATATTTTATCGTCATCCGAAAACAATGCGCGCTGTTAGTGAAAATCAAAGGTCCGTTATCGACACCGCCATGTTGGGAAACAATGACGGCTAATCCGGGTTCTTCATTACGGTTTTAGCGCGAGGTGCACATGCGGTGTCAGTGTTTTCCTCTCGCGATTAAACGCTCACACCTGTAGTTGAAAGCCCCAGGTAAGTTTAGTAAGTAGTTGCGTCACTGCGTGTGACTATTTTGCCAAGTAACGCTAATTTCCCATCACCCACACCCTGGTCTTTGATCGCGGGGTCTTATCCTAAGATTATCTACTTATCTCGATACGAAACCAACCCGCGTAATTACCGCTCCTTGCGAGAGGCCCACAGACCGCTCCCCGCTGATCGGAGCGTATCGATCTCGCTAACGTTGACCACTGCCCGTGTAATAACGGTCACTTCAAAGGAACCGACGGACCTGACCAGGGGACGCGCAACAAAATCCCCGGATGAGCGAAGTTAACGCGTTAAGTACCGTAATCGCCACTTGTTGGCCGCATCTATGCTGATATCGAGATATAGGTAGCGGGTATGGGGGCCGCCATCTTTGATGTGGAATTATGGGGTATTACGAAACTGATGCGCTGTCTGTGGTTGTTGATAAGGGGATATTGAGAGTTTTGAGCAGTCGCTGACCAAATGGCGTGGAAATTTGACAAAACGTCGAGTGGCCCTCAGCTCCTTGTCGGTGTTTTAAGCACTGATAAACGAATCTAAGCAAGAATTAATGTTTGGAGATGAAAGTTTCACCGCTTGCTCAACATGCTAATTCTTCCTATGATGTTATTTTCGCATCCTGTTAACGTAGTTTATTTCTTCAATATAAGACTATATTTCCTTTAGATATATCATATACATTACACAACATGCGATTAAATTGCTCTTAAAGCCCTCATACATATTCAGCTTTTGAAATTAGAATACGAAGTACCAGTGAAACTGAAAGATCAATGACACAGTTTGACCTAATGTCTGTCACTGTTTGATTGGCATTCTATAAGTTGGCCAAATAAGTAAGAAAATACGTGCAATCTTATCGATAACAACTTCTGGTTTTTCCCCTTTGAAAGGAATAAAAAATGTCAAAAAAAAAACCAAAAAAACCTTCTGGTTTATTGCAAATAGCGAAGTTTCGATGTAGATTCTTTCACCCCAGAACCTACATCGATACGTCGCTATGTGCTATAAAACAGAAGTTATTATCCATAAAGTTGTACGTTTTTTCTTACTTATGTCTGTAAGTCTGATTATCCAACTATTTCGTTATTTCCCCAGAGAGACAGACTATCTGTATACCAAGTTTGGTGTCACGACTATTGCAAGAGCAATGCTAATAAAACCTATCTGTAATGTATACATATGCTACAAGCAACAATGTATATAAACACCATATATGACTGAAATACCGCCTACCGTAGGCGACATAAAAACAAACTCATCTTTTGTTGCTGCAAAATGAATAGGCTTGCGACAATTATGCACTACTCAACTTTTGATAGGGATGATCAGAATATCATTCTAGTTAAATATCACATTACATATGATGAGGATCAGTTTTGCGTATTATGTAAAAAGTCCATATGAAAAGTGGAGAAGTATACTTGCTATGCTATAAAATATATTACCTCCTTTTCCATGCGGCAATAATGCTCGACCGAAGATGTCAATTGTAGAATGGAAATAATGTCTCAAATTACCCGAAATAAGCGCGTACGTCTAAAGAATACTTATTTTGTTTTTCAAAATAGAAGACCTTATCCTGAGTAAAATTAAATCTGTACGGGAATCGATGTTTTAATCTTATTTGCATCTTGTTCTATGCTGAAGTGTATGTTGTTTTGTTTTTGTTTGTTGTTTAACGCCGCACTCAGTAATATTCCAGCTATATGACGGTCTGTAAATAATCAAGTCTGGACCAGACAGTCCAGTGATTGACACCATTAGCATCGATTCACAAGTTGGGATACGATGACAAGCATCAACCAAGCCTGGCCACCCGATCCCGTTTGTCGCCTCTTACGACAAGCACCGTCGCTTTTTACAGCAAGCATGGGTTGCTGAAGACCTATTCTAAACCGGAGCTTCAAGGGTCTTAATTGTATGTATGCTGTAGTGTGTATTGCCTGGCATTGCATACTTTTCTTATGAGTGTTTGTATTGCCATACTTACATTTCTGTGTGTGACACTTGGATAAAAAAGGGTTTTTTTCTTCAAAATTGATGTACGTAATCGTTATTTATCTATAAATATTTTGAAGCATATTTACAACAATCTTATGACAGCCGTGTTCCACCACGTACCAAGACTGCCGTAGCTGTCTTCCAGGTATCTCAGTTGTAACTGGAAACACCTTTACGCTCAATATCGAATTTATTCATGGAGGTGATATGTTCAATGTTCGGGCAAAAAGAATATATAACGTCAACGCCAGAGAATATCCACATAATAAAAATTAAAATTAAAAAAGGAGCCAAGAACAATGCTTATACGCGTAGGCAATCTAGACTTGCCGAATTATTATAGACTTGATTTGGTCTCGTTTTCTTATTTATTCTCTAGCGTCTGGAAGAGACTACCCAAGAATGTGATCAAGACTTTTTTTAAGCTGTCATGTGCCCGTATATCATGTGCTTTGTTCGTGTCATCTTTGTTTGTGAATTTTGATCTTACAAGACAAACTTAAATCGCCAACAACCTACATTGAAACACCCCTATATGTTATATTGTATCTATCCGTGTCGACAGCTATTTTGAAATCATCAACCTAAACCTTCATAACAAAACACCTGTGTACGAATAAATACACAAAGACAGGTTGATAAATGTGGGTTCTAAACCGGTCCTCCCTCTTCATAAAACACGTGTAGTTTACAACCCTATATTTGTAGAGGTAACATTTCATATCTTTTCGATAGCCTCATTAAGAACACACAGTGAGGCTTAGCTATCGACAAGTATACCATTTTGTCGTTGTTAGTTATTTTACAAAGGACCACTCAGTATATTTGTTCCTCAACTCGAGTGGACATTGAAGTCTCGCTATTCGACGTGCTGCTCCACGTGTGCGGGAAAACCGCGAGATTTGACAATGGCGCTTTATCAGAGCCACATTACAGGCGTGTGTCTTCAATGACCCGGATGTCAAATGGCGAAATACCTCCAAATATTTATACCTCCCTACTGTCGCATCAAGCCACAAGGATGGTGAAAGGATTGTGTTCACACGTGCAGAACAATGTTTAGCCCTCCCTCCCAATATGCAAATATTGATGAGTCTTACTCTTACTTGTTTGCCCTTACCGGAACATATACCTGTGGGAAAATCCCCAATTAATTCCACCGCCCTCGTTTCGTCCCGTGCCCCATTGTTGACATACAGTAACAGTGTCAAAGCAGACAATGTGTCATATCGCCACAGTTAGCCTCTCTCGGTATATTGATATACTTCTATTAACTATTTATTCGCAGCTTGAATGAAACTGTTGCTAATTTTGGTCGGCTTAGCATTCTGTCCGTAAACGTTACAGATGTCCTCGCTCAATTTGAATTTGAAAGATAATTTTTTCCCAAATGTGATTAATATTCACGATTTTGATATAAGAACTTTCAAAATAAACTCTTTATTTCAGAGTTGACGTTGATAGCCAAACGGCACGCACGTATTATGCATATACCAAATTATACTTCCATATATATATATAGCCAATATTCAAACGGCACGCACGTATTATGCATATACCAAGATTATATTTCCACATGTATATATACACACACACACGCACGCACGCACGCGCGCACGCACGAGGCAAACGAATGTTCACTCGGTGTACATGTAATATATAATAAAATCATAAAGTCCTAGTAAGTCTAACATCTTCTTTATATCAGTTTCAGACTTTATATCAGTTTCA